AGTCAGCAGGAAAGTCAGCAGGAAAGTCAGATTGATTTAACAACCAGGTTACTGATTTAACCACAGTGATTCACTTAACTGTAGCAAGAAAGGTTGTAAAATGGGGCAAGTCTCACTTAGCAATAGAAACTTTGGGCTCAATTATGTCCGTAGATTGAGGACTACCTGTATAGGGAGATTTCTTTACTTAATGGATATTTACATGGTAGAATTGAGTTTCAAATAACACTGATTTCGTTGTCTTGAGTGACATCTATGAAAAAGATTCAGGTGCTCAGGCATGAAAATGTGCTGCTCAAACACTATACTTTTCTGCTCACACTGAAAAAAAATTAGAGGGAACATTGGTGGTCACACGAATGAGGGATGCTGCACAGGTTGTAAATGTATGCATTATTCTTGAAGTTATTTTTTTCCAGAACTGTTGTAATTTCAGTCATTGAACACAGCAATTGGTGAGGACTATCTGTATTCAATCTAGTGACTGACTAATGCTTTGGATTATATCAGTTCTAATCTTTTTTCCCCTGAATATAATTAACATGGGGAATAAGCTTACTGACACTAGTGTGCAATCTACCCATAGAAACTGCCTTCCAGACAATACATAAATAAATATTCATAACAGTAGTTTTATTGCTACAACATATTAGGGTAGAAATCTTGGTTTTCTAACTTTAAATGCTATTGAATTACAACTTTCATCATACCACATATTTAGCTGGCAGGAGCTGCTGAGAATTGTATTTCAGTACCTGTGAAGATTTTAAGATTTCATAGCCCTAAATAAACTTCTTTGGTCCTAGATGATGTAAAAATGACTTTCCATGAGGCAATGATTAGCAAGCGAAGATAGATAAGGCTGCTGATGGGATCAGGCATATCAATGGACTGTCTTAGGACTGTGATGGCAAACCTATTGTACGTGTGCCGGACATTCTTTCAGTTTCCGGTGCGCATACGCGCACTGGCCAGCTGGTCTTCACATGCACATACACACTGTGTGGCTGCTTTTCCAATTTCCGGCATACACGCTCCCGTTTTGGCACTTGGTGCTGAAAATGTTCACCAATACTGTTCTAGGAAGAGCTATTCTCACTTGTGGAAATGCCAGACACTTATCTATAAAACCACTAACAATTGTGTCTGATCCAATTGTACCAAATTTTATTCTGAAGCACCAAATTACACTTTGCTTTAGCTTAAAGCCTGCATTAAGAAAAATGTCTTCTAAAATCAAAGAGAAACTAAAAATTTGCAGGAATTTAGTTCTTAATAAACTGCACTAGTATTACAGTCAATTTTGGAGCCTGGTATACATTTTTTAAATGTACACACACCAGCAAAATGTTGGAAGTGGTTAACTTTTTAATAAAATAAATGCACAGTGTGTGTCCTATCTCACGCTGTATATGCAACAGAAGTGTTCTTAATGAAAGCTTAGTATCTAAGCTTTCATTAAGTGATTATGGTCACCCGACGAAACAGGAACTATTCTAATTTTCACTCCATGCACATTTTTATGTCTGCTTTCTGGGACACCTGTGAGATTTCAAGGACGTTTTCCTGTAATGGCCCAATCACTTCCTAATGACCTTTCCTACAAGCAATGTAGTTGTTTTTTAACTGAACAATGTTCTTTGTTGGTTAATGAATTGCAAATTAATGTCTTTAAAATTTCTGGTTTTTCTGCAGTGATTTTTTATTTTTTGGTGACATTTTCACATTGAACATCTTGTATAAAGAAACACCCAAGCATTTTTCATTCTTACTCTAAATAGGAACAAAAGCGTGTTTCTAACAATGCCAATTGTTCTAGGTCCCCTACTATTTTATATTGCCTTCTTACAACTGATGCCATTATGCAGAAAATCCAAAGAAGTTCAAATCTTGACTTAACAGTATTACATTCATAGTTTCTTTTAGAAAAAATAAAACTGGAAAATGATCTACTAGACCATTGCTGTGACTTCAGCATTTGGAAGATAAAATCACTTATATTAACTTGGAGTTGGACACCAGCTGGGCAAATCCAGCTGAGATAACAGGTTTATTTCTGGAATTATCTGGATTGTTTTCAGCATATGACTGCTAAGAAAATAAGGCAGTATCATCTGCATTGTTAGCTTTGCCATCTGTTGATTAGTTCCTTGCTCTACCAGGTTGGTGAAAACAGCCAGGGAACTGATAGGAACTGGATGTAGGTAGTGGTATATGCCCTCTATTTTGAAAAAGGTGATGGTAATAACCTGTCCTTGGGTAATCATCATCTAATCCAACTATTTTATAAAACTGTTGACAACTGCCCTGGATGAAATAGGCTATCTGGATCTACTATTTAGTTAGGAATCAGGCCCAAGTGGACAATCAAAACAGGACTGGTTGCTTTTTTTGATATTTGACAGAATGTGGAAAGAGGTAGTAAAATTATCTTGATCTTCCTTGACCTCTGGGTGGCCTTCAGTGCTATGGACCATGTTGACCTTTTGTACCAACAGCCAGAGTTGAAAGTTGGAGGGGCACTAGTCTTTGGTGATTAACCTGCTTCCCGAATAGCTGAGTTTTTAATGGGGAGTGGGGAGAGATTGCATCCTCAGGCACTGTGTATGGGATACTATATGCTATTTATTCATTTAGTTTGTCATCTATTTATTGGAATTTGTATTACTGTCCAACTCTAATAATGAGGTTCACGTAAAAGAGTAACAACGAAACAGGATTTATTTATTCAATTTGTACAGCTACCCATCTTACAGTTAAAAACAACCAAAGAACACAATTCAGGAAAGCAGTAAAAACACGGCAACCTTTAAAATCAAATAAAAAGCCTAATTAAAACCAAAATTGAAACAGAAAACCCAGAAAGCAGGCAAGTACAAATTATGGATCAATCAATAACAGCTAGCAGTCTCCAAACTATAACCAGATCCCAGCCCATTGGCACAACCATGTTTTTCACAGCATTTCAAAAGGTAGACAAGGTTGAGGCCAGTCTGACCTCCAGGGGAGGATATGCCAAAAGACAGGCACTGTGGCAAAAAGGGCTCTCTTCCAGAATTCTGTCAGATGATATTCCTTAATTGATGGCAGCCTGCCCGTTCTGTTTGCCATGATGGGATGGGTAGATGTAACAGGAGAGAAGCAGTCCCAAAAATAACCCCGCCCCATGCCATTTAGGTCTTTATAACCAGCATCTTAAATTGAAGCTGGAAGCAGACTGGCACCCAATGTAACTCATGGCTTAATATGCACTGAAGCTTCTGGATGTTTTTCAAGGGCAGTCTCACTTATGGTAATCTATTTGGGAGCTGACAGGGCCTAAGTGAGAGTAGAACCTCCCTGTTCAGTAACAGGTACAAGTGGTGTATAACAAGAAGCTGTGCAAAGGCATCCAAGCCATGATTGCTAACTGTTGTTTAGGTAGGAATCATGTGTCCAGAAAATTCCTTAAATTGTGCACAGGCCTTGCTTGGGGTAGTGCAACACATCCAGCTTTAAAAATGGTAAGCCCCCAGAACCTAAGGATCCGGAATCCACTCAGTCTTGCTAGGGTTGAGGTGAAGCTTGTTTCCCACTTGAATTCTCACAATCCCAGAGTTATAATGTATGCCAGTTGTGGCCTTTCTTGAATCAAGAGGCTTTACTCACAGTCACTCATACCTGTGTCACTTCACAGCAGAGGATTATTGCAATGTGTTTTCATGGGATTACCTCTAAAGATCATCCTTGAAATTTCAGCTAGTGTAATTATGTCTGTTCTAAGGTTTACCCATATAATGCTATTATTGCTGCCAGTTAAGGTGCTGGTTGTCACATTTAAATCTGAAATGGTTCACGGCTGCTTTCTCTCAATTGAATATGGTCATTTAGTGCAAGGTGGGAGTGTGGACTTCTTGATAGTTCTATCATGGAGGGAATGCCATCTTCAGGAAACCCAGACTCAAGTGTACTCAGCAATGATCCTCCTTCTTGGGAATAACTTTCTCCCAAAATATTTGAATGAAACCGTTCTCATTACATTAATGGGGAGCCATAACAAGATTATCCTTCAGAAATACATTTTTAGACTTGTAAGATCATGTTGTCTGCAAATGGTGGCCATTAGATTAATTACAATTGTATTCTTGTTTTTTATAAGCCTCACAGTCTTCCAATACGAAGCGGCATGTAAACTATAATAATTACGATTAAGACAACTTTCATCTTCAAGTGCTCCTTGAATACTGTACCATTAAATAAGAGCAGTCTCTTAGGAGAAGAATAAAAAAATACTGTTTTGTTACTAGCATTTGTTTCCTTTAAACTCAGAGATTTTATGCAGGTGTCTTTGAAATAAATAGTAATTCATACGTCTTCCAACGAATGATGTATATTCATGGTGTGCTTCTGAGGAGCTGGCATGCAAAAGAATACAGCAGTTCCAACTGTCATTAATCCAAGAGTAGATCAACTTCCTTCATGATAGTTAGGGTTAGAGTTTGCCTCTTATTTTCTTCTCTCACTTGATTACCTTTTATACATTTAAATACAGACCTTCTAAAACTTACTTTCTCTGTAATACTAAAGTAGCCTTGTACTGTATTTAAGTCGTAGGATTCTTGCTAGGAACAAGAAATTGAATATAGAAAAATAGGGAATGTGGTAGAAAAGAAACTAGTGTATGAACACTCAGTCTATTCTCTAAAAGAGGGGTGTCAAACTCAATTTCATTGAGGGCCACATCAGGGTTGTGTTTGACGGGGCCAGGGGGCCTGTGACCAGGTTGGGGGTGGGCAGCTCAACATCACTCATGTCGGGGGAGCCTATGGTGGCCAGAGCATTCTGCCAGCAAAAATGGGCTCCCAAGCTCCGTTTCAGCTACAACGGCCTCCTGCAACCCTCTGCCAGCAAAAATGGAGATGGCAGTGCCACCTGCAGCCCTCGCGAGCTCCATTTTTGGCTTCAACGGCCTCCTGTAACCCTCTGCCAGCAAAAATGGAACTTGGGAATGTTGCCCACAGTCCTCACGAGCTCTGTTTTCAGCTGCAGTGGTTTCCTGCAACCCTCTGCCAGTGAAAACGGTGCTTGGGAGGGCCACACACAGCCCTCCAAGCCCCATTTTCACTGGAAGAGGCATTGGTCCATAGCTGTTTCCAGGGTGGCTGCACAGGCTGGATCCAGGCCTTAGGCTTTGAGTTTGATACCTGTGCTCTAAAATATGAAGACTGCCATTGGAAAATATTTTTGTCTCTGTTTCATAATCCTCTAGCATGCTCGCTGGGGAATTCTGGGAGCTGAAGTCCACATATCTTAAAATTGCCAAGTTTGAAAAATACTGCTCTAGCACAAGGTTTTTGAAACTATATCTCATGTAACTCTAGATTTCTACAAAAACTTGATAGATTCTATAAGAGACTTAAGGGAGAAAGTCACTCATATGCTGCAAGTTTTTTCATTATAGCTTTATCGTGATCTGGGGTTCCAGTATTTTCCTTTCATTATTTTCCTTTCCTTTCATTCCATGGCTTAAAAGCATTTGAAATCTTGCTGTAGCAGATGAATTACAATTTTTGGCAGGAACTTTATAATAAAATGTCATCCTTGTCATAAAATAAAATGTGACATATGGGCAAAAGACAATATTAAAGAAGGGAATATTTTGAGATATTCTATAATTCCTAGAAATTAGTTGGTATAATTTATTAAAGAAAAAAGGAAGTACTGTGTTTAGTGGCTATCCTTTTACAGTCTGGAAATCATCTTGTTCACATTTTCATGGTTGTAGGCTTTTATCACCAGAACAGCCTCCAAAAGCCAAATTTCTGACACTGGGCTCCAAGTTCCGCTACAGTGGACGTACCCAAGCACAAACACGCCAGGCTAGCAATCTCATAGATAGACCTGCCCCATACTTTGAACGGACCTCAAGCAAACGGATTTCCAGGAGTCTTGATGGTGGTAAGAGCTGGACAGAAACTATAGTGATCATCTTATTTATTACTTATACAAGAATCTTATACATTGGAATAATGGTAACCCTGTTTATCCTTTAGCTTTCATGTTGTAACTACATTTTTCATAGGTCTTGCCAAACCTGTTTTTTAAGAGAGAAATCCTGCTGAACTTCTTTTTAAAATAGAAATGCTACTTTTTCAGTGGAAATGCTACTTTTTTCAGTATATAATAGATTGGGTTGGATTAAAAAAATGCATTGAAGAACTGTTCCATAAAAGTTGCTGCTAGTTCCTCTTGCAGAACTGTTGATGTCAAACTATTTGTCCATAGTTTATTTACAGCTAAATATCTCATCCAAATTCAAACAAGTGGATTGACCAATTCAAAATTAATTGGAGAATATGGTCCAGATTGACTGATTTTTGTTCTATGTATGGATTGACCAAACATACCATAGGCAGTAGTTTATAAGCTGCTATTTGCATGAGGAGCATTAGACATTGTCTAGCACATTCAGCAGTAAATCAGAAGCTTTCGTAATATTAATTTATAGAGCAGTTTTCATTTTATGCATGCATATGCACAAATATGCAGAAATAGTAGGGCAGGTTATAAATACTGCAACTGTTACATGCTTTATTGTGATAAATGTAGTTTGTTTTTATAGTTTACCTATATAACATGTATCTAGTGATATTTATATTCTGTAACATTTGCTTATAGTTAAATATTATTGTAATTTTATTGTAATTCTGTCTTACTGTGTTTTATTTCCCCTTTGTAAAACTTCATTGACATAGCATATTTTCTCAAACTATGTGATATCATAGTCTCTTAAAATAATAAGGTCCACCCACCCCACATGGATAAATTTACTTCATTGGTGATAATGTGGGTAAGAAAGAAGTATACAAGTTTTAATTTCTATATCAAAGTCTATATCAGATTTGTAAAACAAACAAACACAGGCCAAATGAAGAGCAAAGTCCAGATTGAGCTGTGACATTAATTCCCAGTTAACCATGCAAGACTAATCATTTTTAAAATATATATATATATGACACCCCCCCCTCCTCCCTACAGTTGGTTTTGACCACCAGAGAGTCTGAACCCTGATCCTGACCACTTATCCTGGTGGAATGCTTGTTTGTTTTTAAAGGAAACAAGTCAAAATTCATCTGAAAACTAATAGGGGATTTTTTTTAAAAACGTATTTTCACAGCTCCATTAGGCATTGTAGACCAGAGTCTGCTAAAGGATTTCTCTGTTGCTGCTGGTGAGAGGACCTTTGAAACAGCTGGACAGCACAAGTTAAAAGACGAGGAAGGCAGAGATGTGGATGGAGGCATTGCTAAAATGTCACAATTAGAAGATGGAAAGGTATGATTGTTGAAAACAGTCTATTTTGTAGAAATAACATTAAATTGGAATGCTATCTAAGTTGTAGTAGTTACATTGTAGCTTCAACCTCTATGGCTGTTTTTATAACTTACCCTATGTAGGAGAAGGTGTGGACTGGTCTACTGACTAACATAACATGACATCAGATTATGATCTGCCTCTTAAGGTTCCAACCCATTGAGTAACTATTGGAATAGTAAATGTGTGTACTTTAATGATTAAACATTCACAATATTTAACTGCTTTTTAAGAGTGACTTAAAATCTGGAAAATTTTTGAGATCTATAATTAGAAGCATTGTGTATCCTTGTACTGCTGTCTCCCCTTCTGCTAAATCTTTGAATGTCTGTCTGTTTCCATTTACACTGCTCTTCACAGACAACAAAAAGCTGTTTGAGATGACATAATCCAAATGTTTGGATTGTATGTTGTTTAGTTAGATAACAAACGGGGCTTTATAAATGTTTACACATTCATATTCTAACAGTACTGCTTGTCCCATTTTTGAGTAAAAATTCTCACTAACAAATTTATCCCTTCCCTCTTCTCTACGCTTTCCTTCTGCTTACAAATACACCTTTATATTATGGTCATGTCTGCATTTAAGATTAGACTTTCTCTATTACTATACTCCTCCCATTTTGCTTTTCTCCTCTCCACTCTGTATTTTATGCATTTATGCATTAGCTTTCACCTTTCATTCATTCCCTTTCATCCCATTCCTCAAACTTAATCGATATTCATGAAATGGACATGCTTTTAGATATTTTAGATTATAGTAACCTTAGTAAACCTGCATGGAAAGCAGGAACTCTCAGTCCTGTGGCTGAAAAGCCAAAATGTAATAGAAATGAAGATAAATCATTTACCAGATACTAGCTTGTAACCCATGGGAGGGGGACATTTTTTCCTTCTTGCAATAGACAGAGAAGCTGATAAAATTACTGAAAGTGAAGAGGCTGTATCTATAGTATTTAGTTTGAGATGGTCTTCTTTAGTGTGCTGGATCTCCTAGTTTTACATAAATGTACATCTCCTTCCTCCCACTTCATGTTCAACAGTATCTTTCTGGTACTTCTCTCTCATTTTTTCCTCTCTTTCACATTATTTGTGTCATTTCTCCTTACTTTCTAATCAGTTCCTTTTTCACTCACATTGTCCCTTCCTGTCCTTCTGTTATGTTGCAACCTGGAGCCTAAAGCAACTTCACTGAATGTTTTTAATGGCGCTACTCTAACAGACAAAGCAAAGGAAGAGAAGGTGTGTAACTTTGTTGCCTAATTGTCTTTTGTATATACATTTGCTAATACATGTTCAGAAGTAATCTGCATTTCTAGAATGAGGCCAAGGTGGCTGTGTGTTTAGTGCCATCTATTGATACATAACCATCTATATAAATTCTGCAGTATTAAAAAGTAGATAAATAGTATGATTTACTTGACACTATTCTTAGAAAAAAATTAGAACGCAAGCTACATTAAGATGTTTCCTGATATATTTAGAATCTCATAAATCAAAAATTGCACTGCCAAAAACACTACCAGATTTCAGAAACGCAATCTTAGGCTACTGGAGGGCCTCAAATTGCACACCTCTGAATTAAATAAACTCTTTTTACATTGAAGCTTTGCTTCATGCTTGTAGCAATCAAGTCCATACAAATCTATGCACTTAGGTGCTATTCCTATGGCATATCTCTTCCAAAATGGATTAGGTCAAGGCATTCCCAAAGATGAAACATACAACTTCTGACACAAGCAACTGGCCTTTAGACATAATATTCTGTAAATTGTTTAGCATTCCTTAGTCATATGAAAAATAATTGAACTGGTTTCCTTTAATATGTGTTCTTTCCTCGCTATTTCCTTTAGATATTTCTGCCTCTTTCTTTTAGATACTAGTGTCTCATTTTGACAAATGCTCAAAAGGCTTTGTTCAAATGTAACAATAAGCAGTTGTGTATTATGATTAGAATAAGGCTTTATACAAGATGGTGTGCTATTCCTTCCTCCAACATAGATATAAGAGGAGGCTGGAAGCATTTATTTTCACTCATAATAAACCACAATCTTAGTTAGGGTTTGCCGATACAAACCAACTTCAAAGCAAGTTCTGTGAAACTTTGTTGTACATAAATGATTTTTAAAACTGATTTGGGGAATTGTTCAACAGGGGTCAAGGGGCCGGAAATTCAATAGCTAATTCTGATTTTCTTTTTGTCCCATCATGGCAAAGCTGTATCTGATCTTTGAAACTTTAGTCGTGGCTTCCTAGTTTTCCAAAACTAGAAGCTTCTTAGAACTTATTAAACCTATTGAAAAGCAGACATTAAATATACTTATACTTAATTAAATATTAATGAAACCAAAAAAATTAATCACGAACCCATCCTGTATTGCATCATGTGTGCCACTCATATCAAATACAACCCTTGGGCCAGAAAAAGAACTGAGTAAATAGTCTTGAATTCTGTATATAGTACATTTAAAGCAAGCCCTATGTTGGAACTATATTTCAATGCCAATCATATGTGCAAATGTTAAACATGCTAATCTTGTTGAAGATAACTTGTCATTAGTTGTATTTGGTATTATATTTGAATAATATTTCATAAGTGAAAGGACCAGACCTGTGCTACCTCTGCTCTGGTGTTTACATTGGCCCCACTCCATCTTCTCCAACATGGATTATACAAAATCAATAATTTACTCAGAAAGCAATTAAATATTGTTAAACCTTCTGATTTTTTTCTGATTATAATTGCTCTACATGTCTTTGGATTTAAATTTTCTGTCCAGTGTTATCCCAAACAAACTCTAAATCAGTAAGATTAACTACCAGATTTTTAGAATACAAAATGCTATGGTTAACAAGAGATTCCAGATGCCCTCTCTTGACTGCGCAAAGGGAGAAATGATTCAGTGCTTAACAAAAACCATCCGTCGGTGTTAATATGACTGACCTGTGTATTTGTGTATTTTCAGTATCATTATTTATCTACTCCAGTAATGTCTTGTCTTACTGTTAATGCAGATCAATTGCATCTAAAGATAGTTTGTGCTTCTCTTGTAATGTATTGCCAACCAGTTGCAAATAGTAATTTGCATTATTGGCTTATGCAAGGAGTAGGCAAAATGTTTCAGATTTAGAATGACTTGAAAACCCAATTATGAGAGACAGATGGTCTATTTCAACCATTTTGGAAATATACCCAGCACTTAAAACATTTTTAAAATACAATGGAACAATCAGCTTCATGCTAAAAACATTGACAGCTACACCATACTGAAGCAGTTTGAATTTGAGACATTTTGCACATATCTAAATAAATAGGTATTAATAGTAATAGATAATAAGTTTTGAAGATAAAACAATGCATTGAAATGTATGATGGGTGGGAGAGCTGCAAGTTCAAATCTTAACCTGAGTTTGATATTATATATGTACCAAAATTTAATTTATCAATTTTATTTGGACTATGCTGTGTTCTTTGAATGACCTCTGTTAATTTCAAACATTTTTAACAAAACAAATAAAATCCTGAAAGACCACTTTACTGAGCATAGACAGCAGACTTTATTCTAAATATAATTAAAATAGCTCACTCAGAAAGTTCAAAACTCAAAAATTTATTTTTTCAAACTATTCTGTTTTTACAATCCTTTAAAGTTATGGAGAAAAATCTACTAATACAGAGTTCTGTCTGTAGAATGGCAGCATTTCCATTTCAGCCATTGCTACAGTGCTGTAGGTAGATGACTAGTCGTTTAATACACTGAGCAATATTTGAAGCCAATACATACTATGCTTGTAAAGAGGTTAAGTTGCTTGCAGTATTTCCAGTTAAAGATTCCGTTATGTTCCAGTATCTTCCTCTAATTCTCCTTTTTTGCTGATCTCTGGGTGATTCCACTACATAGACGGAAATGGAAGAGGATGAAATTCATAAGAAGGTTGCTGACTGCATTATTAGTGTTTGAAGCTTCTATAGTTTGTGTTTGCATGGTGCCTTTCTGTATTTAATTTCAAAGCCCTGTTTATTGAATTTTAAGCTCTTTTTTTGGCCTTTTTGATTATCATGGGCTTTTTCTCCCCCCTTGTTCTCTTTTATGTGTGTGTATGTACTTTAATTTTACAGATTTATTCCTTGAGAGTAAATGGGGAAAATATTTATGTCAGACATAGCAATTTAATGTTGGAGGTCTGTATAATTAAACGAGTTCTTTCTGTTCTCATGGGCTGCTAGGCTGCACGAGAGGGGAAATCACTTGCAGGCTGTTCTGGGCACAATGCATGAAATGCATGGAGATGTTCAACTTGAACATGCATGTTCTATTTTGGTAATTCTGTAAAATGAGCTACATTTTCAACTGTTAAAAATACTCTGCAGTGGCAAGTGGAACATGGCCCTGTTTAGATGTTCAGACTTAAAAGAAATAGGACTTTTTAGAAATGTCTATCACTTTATAGGGGCACCATCCAGAACTTTCAATATATTGCAACACTTCCTACACCTGACTGGAAGTATAAGAATAGACAAAATGTGACTTTTGAGTTAAAACAGAAATGCAGAGTTCTTTTCCTAAGTTATTGTGGGCAACCTACCAAACTTTTTAAAGCAATTTAATTTTATAATACTATCAATTAATATTTGTGATACCAAGTGGTACCGATTGCCAAGGGTTTCAAGATAAAATTGTGGATGTAGATTATTTTGGCAAAATAATTTGTAAATAACAAATATGTATCATCCAGATGGGGCTATTTCCAATATTAAATTTAGGATATCTCAGAGATAGATAGATATATAATGTATAGGCCTGTAGATTTACAGTAACCTTACTAACATGTTCTGTTGCTTTCTGGCAGCTTCTTATAATTTAATATATATTGGCGTAACTTTACCAAAACATTGTTCAGATTATTGCATAACATTGCATTGAACAAATCCAAGAAAAGTGCCTAGTCTTAAAATTATTATTTTTAAAACATTATATTGAGACAAGTTGTAATAAATTCAAATTGATTTCCATTTTTTAAGATTACCATTAAAATTTAAATTGTTCCCTGAAATTTTTGTATTTATATAGTTTATCTTGTCATAGATTGCTATGTTTGAATCTTGTCAAATAAGTTTTGTTTATACAAATAGCAACACAAAGCTTTCAGTTTCCCCAAAACTGTGGGAAAATATTTTCTCTACTTGCTGTTTTAATGTTCTCTTTCACCAGCATAATCCTGAATCTGTTTTTCTTTTTTCCTTAACATATATAGTATATTAGTTTTCTCAATCTTCCCTACTATGTATCCTCTTAGCTTTATCACCACAAGGATAATATAAAAGAACAGAATGTTATTTCTCAGTTTAATTAAATTAATCAGCCCAATTCCTTACTATTTCATTTGTTTTATAAATTAATTTTCAGATTAATTGCAGAGTAGCTTTTGTCCCTCCCCTTTCATGTGTCATTAACAATGACATAACATTTAAAAGGAACTGCAGAAGATAAGTCTATACTTGAAATAATTCATCTGAAAGCTCAATAGGTGGATGACAAAGTCATCTGTTTTCATTAAGCTATGTTTTGTTACATTAAAAAAGATAATGGAATTTTTTGCTTCCTCCTAGTAAATTCACTGGTAGACAAAGAAAGATTATGGTTCTTCCAGAAAATATTTCCAAATGAATTATTTTACTTGTCTTCTATAGTGGATTGTATTTCTGCAAATAAATGCAAATTCATTGATAAAAGATCCTGTTGTAGCAAGAGGATATTCTGGCTCTTACTCTGATAGCTAAGCCAAGCTACTCTAATTCCCAGTCCCCTTCTTAGTGATGTATGTTATGTGATGTATGCTTCTGTGATATAAAAATGAATCATCTGATTCTATAATTTATAACAAAGGCAATTATAATTACAAGGTAATACTTGTAAGAAAGCTTAGAATATGCAGATTCACTGCAGCAATTCATTTGTTGGATTAACATCAGTTCCTCATAGTTGTAGAAATTATTGTGTACTAGTAGGTAGCATAAAGCCTCTGACAGCCACCTGCCCAAGTTACTGTTTTTTTGTCAGGTTCCAAAACCCAAGGAAGACATGCAAGGTTACTTTTAAGAGTTTCTTCTATTGTTCCTCACATATAGGCACAAATTTTCCCAACCAACTATTTGCTTCATTAAAAATATACTGAGAACTTCTAAGGAGGACCTGCTGCTTCCTTTTTCTCTCAACCAAACTGTCTTAACTTCACTGTATCTTGGTTCTCTGGAATGCAGCTCTTCCCTCCTGGGAATCCAAGCTACATTTCACCACAGTTTTGCAAGCAGGTTGCATCATGGTGCATAAAAAGTTCAAACGTGCTAGTAGTACAGCAACACCAAATTTTTATTTTATTTGAAATACGTGTATTACATGATTTTCAACAGTATAATGGAAATAAAAACAAGGTATTTATTTTCCTGAAAAAAGTATAAATGAATATTTTTAAATTGATAAACTGCTGTTGTATTTTCAAACACTAGGCACTTTTCATGGTGTTTTTTTTAAAAATTGTCTTTGTTGTATGAATTCCCTGCTCTTTTTACATTACACATTGGTAGGAACTGGATAAGACTCAGGATGAATTACTGAAGCATCAGGCTAGCATTAGTGAACTCAAGCGCAATTTTATGGAATCCACTCCTGAGCCACGCCCCAGTGAATGGGAAAAACGGCGTATCACACCTCTAACTCTACAAACACAAGGGGTATGTCATTAAAGACCCTTGTCAGCATTCCATAATAAGCAATATGTATTATTTCATATTAATAAGAAAAATAAGAACCGTCTCTTCATTGCTAATGTGATTTATTTTCAGCTAATACTTATTAACTTGGTGTGCATGTTTTGCTTTGTTCACAAGTTCTGGAAGGAAACCAGAGTAGAAGATATTGGTCATATCTCATTAGAGTAATATTGCAGTTCTAATCATATTCAAAGTTTTTAAGTAACTTTGTTGGTTCACTGTTAATAATAAATGGCAGGACACAATCTATCAGAAAAAGGGAACTAGGGAAAAGCCTCATATACAGCATTATCTCTCCATCTCACAAACTAATACATTTAAAATTTCTGCAGAATGCAATGCAGTCAGAGTATTAGGGATTTATAATATTAGAAGATTTTGAAACATAATAGCATTAAGGGTATCTATGGAACTTTAGTATAATACTTTCACTATTCAATTAGGGATCATAGTTAACAATTGTGTAGAAAAAAAGGATACCAACTTAGCAGGGTACTTTGAAATACATATATCCTTTTAATAAGTTGGCATTTAGAGATTGTTGTTGGAGATTGCTACCAATTTGAATATAGATTAGTGGAATTTGAATTTTATTCTAATACAGTTTTAATCTGTATAAAACATCGAAGTCCTGAAATTGTTGACTTTGGGGTTATCCTCTTGATTTGGGGTTATCTTCTTGATTTGACTTCCTTATAAAATATATAAGAACTGAAAGACTGAGAGTCTTTTTGTCATTTTTCTGTAAACTATGTTAGTGTAATGTTACACATTAATAAAATAAGTTTGATGTGTTTGTGTAGTGTAAATGATGTCCTATACATAATGAGCTTCATATCTTGACTATTCTGGGGCAAGTAGCATGTAGCTTCTCATGTAAGATAGCATGTAGCTTTTTTAGATAGTTGGCAAGACACTGATTTTTCAATGTTGTGCCGGCATTTTGCTGTGCATTCTTGTCTCACATTTCTTTCGGTTTTGAATACAAAAATTGCATACATTTCAATGCCTGTGTTTCTGAGAGGTATTCTACCTCGTGGGTTGATACTTTGTAAAGCTCTTTGACTTTTCTTACATGTTGATTTGGAAAAAAGAATACAAATTTCCCTCAATGAATGTAAAACAGAGCAATGGGAATATGCCTTCAGTGGAATAGGAATGGACTTAAAGGGTCTATTGGTTGGCAGAAGACCACAAAGTAATGGTAAATGAGGCTGCCTACAAACTTTCCTTTTATTCCTATACTGCCAAGCATCTGGGGCCCTGTTATCTGTTGTTATTACTGTGCCTAATTGTTCAATGTCTTGTCTTTCCCCCCATCTAGCTGCAGATAACAATTTCCCAAGTAGATATTCAACTTAAACTTTTAACAAGCTATCCCCAGCACAGTGACAGTTCTTTTAAGTTTGAAGAATACTTGTCCCCCACCCACCCCCAAACGCAAAGCCCCTGATGAATTATCTTTGGTATTCTGAACAGCATTTTCATCCACTATTGCCTGGCACAGCATATGTGATAGAATATATGTGATGGAATAATTTTGGATTTCCTTAACAATAATGTTAAGAATATTTCTTCATCTGGGTATACCAAATTACTGAGCAAAAAGTGAATATAATTCTAATGTTGTAGTAGTTTATTTAATGGCACCCATTTAATGAGATAACTATACTAGCGTTAGCCTTCATATAAATTTTCATTCATATAGGCTAGAATTTATATGTAGTATTAAAATGCATCATATTTAAACAGTTTACCTCTAAAATCTCTAAAGTTCACAAACGGAAGGATCTACTTCTAATTCACTCTTTTCTTTTTCTTGTTTTTTACTCTATGCACATGAATGTTATATGTTATATGTAATTGGACAGTGTTGCTATTTCAGTTTCTTATGCTACATCCTGTCTTATCTCTTAGTTCTGGTTTCAGTATAGTTTTTAAAATATTAATCTATGTAGTTTTAATGTTTTAATATGTTCATTATTTTTTACTTGTAGACTTCCCAGAGTTACCTTATAGGGGAGATGGACAGCATAAAATTTAAATAAATAAATAAATAAATAAACAAACAATAGCATTGATAAATCTTATTCCTGAATTTTATCATTGCTATAGTGTGTGTGTGTGAGAGAGAGAGAGCAGGAGGGAGGGAGACTAATTGAATGCATGCACACACACATATGCACAAATAAATGGGGCATATTTAAGTGAGGCAACATCAGTAATTATTTCATATTGCTTTTACCTATTTGAAAGAACAGGATTTTTTCAGAAAAAGTAAATATTACAATAATCTATTAGAGCAATGTTAAGATTATGTAATATAGTCCTGATCAAGATATACTCTAATTTTAAACATATCACTATTAGACATAACGAGAAATCTTGGTGTATGGCACATATACTAAGTTTAATCAATAAATGTAAATGTAGACCTTTTGCAGCTTTAACAAGAAAATGAAGTTAGAGATTTACAAAAGAAGAATAAATAAAACTCTGGGTTTACCCCCTACCCCCCTTTCAGAAAGCTGTAATTCTTTCTTTCAAGGACTATCCAAATAAGATACTTTTTTGCTGCACTTTGAAACTGATTACAGTTGTTTAATAAATGCTCCTATTTGATCCAACTTGTTTAGTCATATATGCGAATCATTTTATTCAAAAATATTTAAAGAGACAATCAAAACCTAGTTCAACTGTATTCGTGTTACAAATTAACTCCAGCTTTACTGTCCACCTTCCATACTGAGTTGTTGTACATATATGCAAAATGGTTAAATTTTAAGTAAAACTGCAGAATTAAGCAGAATAAAATCATTTGGTTCATATTGATTATGCAGGTTTATTATACATATTCATTGTTGAACCTACTCTTACCTGTAGCATTAATATTACAATGAGAGTAAATTTATTAAACAAATTCAACTAATATGAAGAGGGGGAAATTGAAAATGTGATCAAATTTTTTTTGACATGTCATGTCCGGGTGCTTTAATTTGAAATTTGTAGATTTAAAAATAGAAGAGGATTAAGAGCAATGGCAAATATTGAATTAACTTTAAAATATATTTTTGTCATAGAAGTAAAATAATTTCTATCTTGAAAACACATTTGAATATACCATTCTATGTATTTCTCTTCTTGCATGATCTTTCCCTTTTATTCCCCCTGTTTCTTTGTTTTTTTCCCTTTCTTTCAGCTTACTTCTGTCTTCCAGTGTTAATTTGTTGATTTCCACTTTCTGACTTGTCTAGAGCCTAGAAGAGGAGATAGCATCCATTTTATTTAGTAAAGAGGGGTTTTCCACTAGCATGAAATCTGCCTTCACTTCAGCTTTCTCGTGGACAGCAGAGGGCGTTGTTGGGAAAGATAATATACCTTCTGAAAAATTCTCTGCCTCATCCATCTCTCAGCTATTACCTGAGGTGCTCTTACACATTTCCTTTTCCCAAATCAAAGCATAGAGTTGTGGATGGGAGGATGGACAGTTTTTAACATGTCAGATAAATGCTTATATACAATAAATTGAATGTCCTATCATATTTTAAAAGATATATAAGCTGAAATTATTTTGAAAAGCTTTAATGTTCAATGGGAACCAAAGTATGCTGAAAACATTTGCATGGTGGGCTTTTTCCATCAATGCTATTTCAGAGTTACCTCCCCAAATGCATTGAAAATAGATGAGTAGACGACAGGCACTTGCATTATTCTTTTTAAAAAAAATCAGTATCTAATGAAATATTATATGCAATATGTTTGATAGAGAAAAAATTAGTAAGGTAAAAGTATTTTACCAGAAATCTATTTCTTGGAGATAGATCTTAAAAAATATTTTTCACTATATATTTTTTACTATTTGTATATATATACTATTTGTATACATACACACACGTACACACACACACACACACACACAAACACACACTGCCTTGAAAAAACTCATAAACGTCAGCTATATAAAACTTTATACCTGTTAAAACCAAAATTCCCTATTATGTCACACATGCTGTGCTAGATTTAATTGAACAAATATACCATTTTCCTACTTGGTCATATCTCTATCATTTAGCTTTTAAGCTGTTAACTAATTTGTCTATACCGTAGGAAATGTGGCAAAGATCATAAAAGATGCTAAATGTTAACAGTTAATGTCAGTTTCTATATAGCAGGAAATCATTATTATGTTCTAGTCATATTGCTTTATCCTTCCATTATTAAATAAACTCCTTCACTGATGCAGTATTCTTAAGGAACAAATTTCACATTTCTTTAGAGCTGCATTAGCTCTATAGTTCCTACATTATAATAACTTAGGAAGTCTTATTACTTTCACTGAAATATGAATATTTTGGTAGTTGTAGCAACATAGTCAGAAGTCCCTATCAGTCAACTAGAAATACTGCATGTACATGTATGAAATTTATGAACATTTCTTTGATTTGACTGAATGAAGTCTGTACTGGTTAGCATTAGCTTGGATGGTTTGGATTTTGTTATTTATGAGATAAATAGTATTTTAATGCCACTATTTGAGTGTGTGTGTGTGTGAGAGAGAGAGAGAGAGAAAGAGAAAGAGAGAGTGAGTGAGAGTGAGTGAGTTTTTATATTGGTTTTTAACATAACCCATAATAAGGCCCTGGCAGAGTCACCAGCCCAAGTTTTTTTTAAATATTTTCAATGTTCTTGTTTGTGATCTAACAAAATTGTTCCATAAGTGTATGAGTGTATAGTCGGCCCCTCTGTGCTGTTGTAAAATGTAAAGGCACATGTTTGTGTCAGTTGAGTGTAAAAATATATTTATATCTTTCCAATTGCTTTTTTGTTTCACAGAAATTTACTTTCCAAACGGAAGAACCTTCCATTGGAACCAGCAGGAATATTAAGGTTCTAATATATTGCCATAGCCCATTGAGCTTTTACATTTCAAAATCTTCTTTTGTTTTTCTTTGTTTGTTATATTGTTGTGTTTTTTTCATTTAACAATTGCAAGTCATCTTTGCTCTTCATATGACCTGCCCACCTATCTTTTAGTTTTATGTTCATTATTTTATTTATTCATATGTTCTACTTTTTGTTTTTTCTCACCCATTTGTTTCGTGCAGAGTTCACATGAGACTCTGGACATAGTGGAGAAGAAACAGGCAGAGGTTGGGATAGCAGACACAATAGTCACAGATGATACCAACAGGGGGAAAATGCCATTTGTCTGTGGTGGTGGGGAAAGTCAGAAGATGGAACATCTAGCAAAAAAAGACTCTTCATCACTGTCATCCAATAGCAGCAGTAGTGAGAGTGAAGATGAAGTAGGAGAGTATCAGCCACACCAGCAGATTATACAAGATACTATAAAAGAAGAATTGGAAGAAAATGAAACTACCAAAGAGGAAGAACAGAGCTCAACAGCAGATGTTTGTGTTAAATTTTCAGAAGAAGTCAGTCCAATTCAAACAGCAATTGAGCACAAGCAGTTGACTGAAGCTTTGGTCCAAACAAATGAAGCTTCCATAAACACATCAGAAAAGACAAAGTTAGGAAGATTGGATGATGAAGGCCCAAAAGAAGAAAAGGAGGAAGATCTACCTAAACTAAATGGAGAAGCATTGCATATTGACATTGATGTTTCACCACAATTAATTTGTTGCTCAGAGGTAAATGGTAGAAGAGGAAGTGACCCAGAGGTGCCTTCATCATAGGGTCAAATATTTCTGCCTTTCTTCTTCTCTATCTTATTCAGATTTCATAATATTGCAGATTGGGGGAGTCACATTTTTCATTTCTCTCAGAAGGAATTTGTTTGGGATTATATCATTCTTTTTCCCTTTTTTTTAAGTTTCTCATGTTCCTCTTCTGTTTGCGTGCTTTATGAGTCTTCAAGCATTTAGTTGATTGATCTTTCATGACAAAATATGAAGCTTTATATAATGTGTATGGCAAAAACAGCCAGCATCTTTAATATATTGCTCTCTTAAAACACAAAATTTTCTAAACATTTGTGAAAAGTTACTGTTTAGAGCTTGGCACAATGTCACTTCACTTGTACATGGATATTTGTGCTTCATAAAGCATCATTGGTTGTGATAATTATTAAGATTATTGCTTTTTGCATTTACACTTCTCCTTATTTTATATGATATTTTCTGAGTCCAAAATAGACAGTCAAATTATAGTGAATGATAGGGAGTAAAACAACTCAAAGTATCCTATCGCACATGATAAGTTTAGTGAGCATTCTTGTCAAAAAAAAAACAATAGTGCCAATCAGTTAAATCTGAGTATATGGAGAGGCTTAAGGGGATTAAGCAGCATAGATTAATAACTGAGTGTCATCTTTAGTAGATTTTACTTGACCATTCCTGGTCAGGCATTACTGGTATATTGAGAAGCCAAACAATGTCTGATTTATTCTGTTCTTCATACTTGTTTAAGATATTTTTTGGAGTTGCATATTTAAAGGACTTGGACATTTTCCCCCTTAATTGGTCAACATTATCCATTAATATATAATGGAATATCTACTAATATAGTTTGAAAATGCTTTATAGGTAGGTTATTGATGCTATTGTTTGTCAGGATTGTGCACCTGATGTTAAGATTTGACTTTAAAATATTGAAGATATCTTTACAATAACCATTATTTTCTCATGTCAAGCTCGATCGTAGTCTAAATACTGCATACTTCACTGTTTCATGACTTTTGAATATAGCTTTCATTATTTTCTGAACACTAGCCTCCACTTATTAAAACTGAGATGGTGACGATTTCAGATGCTTCACAAAGAACTGAAATATCCACTAAAGAAGTCCCAATTGTTCAGACAGAAACTAAAACGATCACCTATGAATCTCCTCAGGTACAGATGTTTAAATTAAAATAGCTATATTTAATTAAAGTGATCATGCTGCCTATCTAGATAAGAATTTAAGAAGATAGGAATCAAAACAATCGTGATCACAACAATCATGGCTTACTTTCCATATATACTTCCCAAATGTTTGAGAGAAATAATTGCTTTTGATCCTATATAGATTACAGAATAAGTTACATCACATTTACTGATTTCTTCCATACACTGTGCATTAGCCTGCCTAAACAAACCAGGATGCCTGATACATTTGCAACATCAGTAAGTTACTGTCTTGCCTGTAAGCCCTGTCACCAGCCTATCTTTACATTTCTAATGTCATTACTCGCTATAAGTACTTCCCTCTTCATATATCCTCAGCGCAAGACAATATTGTACTTGCCTTTGATAAATTGAACTATAGAATCATTCTTCTTCAAGTTCCTGCTATACTGTCTCATTGTGGTGGTAGTGGTAGTGGTGGGATGTTCCTGGGAAAACATGCACAAAAAATGCCCAGAGTGTATGCCAGGTGTAAATGTTGATGATATTTTGGAGTATTTGTGTTGTTCAATGACACTGATAGATTCATGTCTTTGGAATAGCTAATCACTAATTTTGCCTAACCGCAAATAATACTTGAATTCTCTTCAAAGAGAATTATTGAGCAATCATAAAATAGAAGAAGCACAAACATGGGAAAGCTCAACATAATGAAGGATGAAATAAATCAACTTACATATTGATATCTTAGGCATCAGTAAATTGAAAAGGATTGGAATTGAATATTTTTCTGTCCGAAGATCATACTGTTTACTACTCAGGTCACAAAGAAAAAATGGCATTGCTTTCACAATCAGGATATAAGCAGACACTGTACTTGAATACAATCTACTTGATGAGAGGCAGCATTTGATTTCTTACCAGATTGGTTCTGCTTTAAAAAATCATATATTTGTATTTTTATTTAATTTTTAATCAGTTTGCGCTTTTCTTGCCTATGTAGTTTGATGATGGTGCTGATGCTGGTATGTTGTTGAGTGCACAGACAATCACATCAGAATCTGTTTCTACTACCACAACCACACATATTACTAAGGTAGGAGAAAAGAAATAATTTAGAGTGAAGCTTTTTGTCACTCAGGTTTTTTTTCCGAGTCTTTGAGCTTTATAATTCTGGTTTACATGAACAAATTTAATTGCTTCTATTTGATTCCTCCTGCTGTGGGGGCATCTCAGCAGTTTGTAATGGTCCTTGTTCTTTTCCTAACTGGAGTTGGAAGCCATATTTGCATGTTCATCTAAATAAAGTATAAACATTGCTTTAATATGCTATTATAAGAGAATGCATGAAGCCAAAGTAATCATTTACATAAACATTTTTCCTCATTGTGATATGTTTATGCTTCCCTAAAGAAAATTGATTTCAATAGCAATTGGCTTGGTTAGAGATGGGTTTTGTAGTTGGCTTCTCATGCATGAATAGTAGCTTTTTAAGTGTCTATAGCTTTGTATGTTACTCTATGCTAAGAAACGTAGTTCTTGCTAAGGCTTTTCCTTTTTTAAAATGTTTTAGCAAATACTTCTATAGGTATTGCACAATAAAAATCAAGTAACATACAAAATAATATATTAACTTAATAAAAGTATGGACCTGTGTCAGAAATAAAAAGTGAAATAACATTTAATAAGCAACAACAAGTTGATTGCATCACACTCATATCAGAAGCGCCCTGGCACTTGGTGGGGTTGAAAGGATTAGCCAATGATATCACCATTGCCTGGGGGATGCCCAGTTGGAGGCTCCGCTCCTGTTCCTGGCAGAAGCTGGAGTGTAGGACAGGAGCCCATCTGCTCCACAACAGCACTCAGGTCTTGAACTCGGGCTTGCTAAGCTCCTACCCAGCATCCTAGCCATGCGAGCCACCATGCTCCTATAGAGCAGTTGATAAAAATACTGTAATAGTTGCAGCCAATCAAGAATTTACAGAAGAGTATTCCAAAAGCTCTGCAACGGTGGAATTTTGCTGACTATCTTAAAGTAGAATAGATTAATTTTTTTTTGCCTCCCACCACTATTTTATTGTTTCTGAACTTTCTAGAAAACGTTAATTTCCAAATAACTTAATAAAAGCTAGGCAACTGGTAGAAGAAAAGTTTTTTCTAACCTGGCAGAGGGAATAGTATATATCAAGAGCCCAATCTGTTCCTCTTTTATGGATTTCCATCTCAGAAAGTGTTTCAAGCTCACCTTTGAACAGAATTCCCCTTCCCTCCCCTCTCTTTGATAAAAATATGAATCAATTGAAGCCAGCGATCAAACAAATAGCCACAAATTGATGGGATGGTGATAAAAACGTATTTTTATCTCTTCATCTATGAGGCCTTTTTTATTTGACTAGTAAAAACAGAGAAGTGCTGGATGCTCCGATTTTGGGACAATTAAATTTTCTAGGCAAGAACTATTTTATTTTGCATTTTGTTTTTTTTAAATGATAGGCTGGTAAAATATATCAGCTGAACATATATTTAGGAATTGTGTTTCTAGTTACTATTTTCTTTCTTGTACCCTTAACAGTTCTCTAGCCATCTTTTTCTCTAATATGATGCATTCAAGGGAGAGTGTGCTGAAGAGAGGTTAGGAATGATTGCAGTTATCAATAAAATGCATTTGTAGCAGAAACAGTTCTAGATAGCAGGAATATTAATCTAGAAGTGACAATGCATTAACTTTTTCCTCTTTAGTCCAACAGCATTTGAAGTTTGTGTTGTAGCTCTTCTAATTTTACACAGATAGATTTCTGTTGAATATCTTTTTCATTGCAATATATGTCAAGTAAATTCACAGCATTATAGAATTAAATAAACCTTTTCTGATGAAACCTGTAGATGGTAAAAGGTGGTGTATCAGAAACCAGAATCGAAAAGCGTATTGTTATCACAGGAGATGCAGATCTTGATCATGATCAGGTGAGACAAAATGAATGCTTATAATGAGGAAATTATATATGGAGGAAAGGAAGATTTAAGAATACATATAAGGTATAAGAATTGCAATTTGTGATAACATGAACAATAGTTAAAATATTTAACTTGCAAAATGCTATATTTATATAAATATTGATTATTGTGGATAAAAGAAAAAAATCATGGATGTTCATTAAACTCAGCATGTCCTCATTAAATTCTTCATAAATAAATGTAACCAGGATTTAATTTTAATTTCTTAATGGTAATGTATCAAGTCCTTGAAATAAATTTAATCTGAGATTTGGATGTATGAGACAAATTCAATCTCTCCTTGAAATGAAATAGAAGAGCTGCTTAGCATTAGATCTGAGGGATATCCTTCCCAACACATGCTCAGTATGGCTGGGAAATTTGAAAAAAATTGTTTTCATAAAATTTAAAATTATCTCTATTTAGGAGTCTATAAAATTCTGACATCCTAAAGTAAACTTACAGTGGGACCTATGCATTTCTATGAATTTAATCCATAAATGTTTTGTGTTTGTGTGTCTGTGTGTAAAATACATGAGTGCTTTTTTTAGTAGTATGCCGGTCATTGTTTCTGTGATAGACCTTTAAATAGGAATCGCTATTTATACACTTGTATTCTTTTTGTTTCCATACATTCTGAAAAACGTACTGCTAAAGAAATGTCAGGCAGAGAAAAAAAATATCTGTTTGTATATTTCTTTGTGAATTCCTTAGGATTTGTTTTTGCATTTTTTTCAAGTTTGAAGTTTAGGGTAACTATATATAGAAAGCAGTTATTAATTTTGGTTTAGGCTTAGGGTTTATGTGGAGATTGCTGGCCTTTTCCACATCAGCAAGTAAAAGTTTAGAGTAAAATCACTGTCTAGTGTTCTGGAACGCATTTTCCAAATTCTGCAGTTACCAGATTAGCACAAACGAGAGAGGACAAAATTGTAGAATAGAAATGATGGACAAGAAAAAAAAAATAACTTTTCCAATTGCCATTTGTTTGCTAAACTGTATTTCATTAGTCTGATATTGTAGATCAGCTCAAGTAGGGGAAAAAAGGGTAAACATTAGAACAAGGCATATTGGAAACTAGCAGAAGAAAACAGTTGCTGTTTGTAAAATTTTAAAATAAGGAGATAAAAATCAATGATAACTAATAATTGAAATAGAAGAGAGAAACAATAAAGAGCAAAAGATTTAGAACATAAAGAGCAAAAGATATGCTATGGAGTAGTCTTCAGTACCTTACAAAACAAAACATGAAAAAGAAAACTAACTTTAACAAGCGTTCTACAAATTTTAATACTTTAAAACATTTGATATCATTCAGCAAATTTGTAAATGTATTTATAGCTTTCAATATAACACTTTAAAAGTTTTTTTTCTTCTACAGTTGGTTGTTTTATTACAGGATTATATGCTTAGTTTAATATTTAATTTAAATTGTTCTAGAAAGATAAGCATTAAGAGCTTTGCTAGCCATTACACATTAAACTGTTAATTTTAATTTGCCATATAGTTAGTCCATTTTTCTGGCATTGCAGGCATTGGCACAAGCCATTAAGGAAGCCAAAGAGCAGCACCCTGACATGTCTGTAACAAGGGTAGTGGTGCATAAGGAGAGTGAACTTGAAGAGGAAGGCCATTAAGGTATGAATCTTCAGCCCATAATGTATTACAGCAATCGTTGATATAACAATTGTAGGAGAATTTCTTTATAATAGCTTTAGAAGTGCTGATTGTTGATACCAACCATATGAACACCTCAGCTTGCATATTCCTTATGGTAGGTAAATGGATCTTCTGATTTTGCAGTGATTTTTTTTCTTCCATATTTTTTTTTAAAGAATGGTTCAGGAAACAAGATTACAAGAAAGAAAAAGGGAAAAGGTATGGAGGCAATTTACAGAATCAAAACATGAAGAAATGGCAAAAAGAATACCTGTTTATTGAGAATACTGTCTAAATATCTGATGCCACCTGGTGGTATATTAAATATTTGTCCATGAAGATCTCATGCAGTCTTCTGTTCCAACATATAGTATTTTTTGTTTTCCTTATCCAGGAAGATTTAAATCCTACTTAAGCTATATATATATATGTATCATAGACACATTATATGTATCATAATACTCCATGTGTTTACTCTAAAATTCACAGTAACAAGGAAAATATAAAAATGTAAAAGTAATCAGTTTTAAATGATCTTTAGAATAATTTAACAAATATCTAGTGAAAGAATTATGTTTTTACCATCATCCTAAATAACACAGCTCTTAGAAAGCATTATCCTTTGTATGAAAGCCACACAGGCCCTTTTAATAATAACTAGGTAGGTTTTCCTATATATGACTATTTGTCATACAGCTTGTACAGTTTTGGAACTGACCTCCAGATCAGTGGTGGGTTCCGGTACGGTTGCAATGGAGCCCGGCGTCCACCACATGAATGCGCGCAGCGTGCGCACATGCATCCTTACCTCTTGCAATGCCTCCGCGATGCTCCAGCTGCTTGGTGGAGCATTGCGCAGGCGCCGTGCGCAGAAGCACCGAAGAGCTCAAATATAGGTAAGGAGCTCAGGTGGGCGGGTGGGCCCTCCGGAGCACCATAGCGGAATGGTACCCCGTGCTCTGGGCAGGCACCGGTACGCCCGTACCGGGGCATACTGCCTTCAACTCACCACTGCTCCAGATGATATTCAATATTTTTTAAAAAAATCCAAAGTATGGTAAGAAAGTTTTGCGTTGTTACATTCAACAACATGCCTTTTTTTTTTTTTAGTAAGCCTCGCCTTTAGTAAGCCATGCCTTTAATAAGACAGCACCTTGAGAGATTCCCGGATTTCAAAGCAATTTGTGGTCTAGATTGGCAGAACTCAAGTGTCTCTGTTCCCACCACAGGTTTTCCAAAGTTACCCAGATGTGGAAGTGAGATAGTAACATGTAATACCTGACTTTGTCTCTGACTTTAAGCCAGGCAGAACTGGGCATACATATCTTAAAAATTATGTTATACGTAGTGATTTTAATTTTTATATCCTATATTCTATTTTGTGATACATTGTGTTGAGAAGCAATAGCAATAGCAGTAGTAGACTTATATACCGCTTCATAGGCCTTTCAGGCCTCTCTAAGCGGTTTACAGAGAGTCAGCATATTGCCCCCAACAATCTGGGTCCTCATTTTACCCACCTCGGAAGGATGGAAGGCTGAGTCAACCCTGAGCCGGTGAGATTTGAACCGCTGACCTGCTGATCTAGCAGTAGCCTGCAGTGCTGCATTTAACCACTGCGCCACCTTGGCTCTAGTCAAATTTACCATTTGACTTAGCAGTTGCTTTAGTAACTTGAGGCCAGATGGGCAGCAAATAAATTTAAAAAAAAACAAAAAAACAGGAGATATTTCCAAAAGTAGGAGTTATGTTTATCTAAAGAGGATTTTTAACAATAGCTTGGTTTTAGGTTCTACACTCTAAGTATAATACTGCTATTTATAATTATAGAATAAAGTAGCAGGTTCTGTCCATCTCCAGCTTAATGGTGTTTGGACCAATTAGAGTCCGAAGTTTATAGGAAAAATATAGCATGAGGCCTTGGAAAGGAAAACTGTTTTCAAAAGAGGAAAAAAGGCAATTAAAATGTTTTAATATAGTTTAAGATTTATAATAATAATTGTATTGAATTGCTTGCTCCTTTAGATTTATGAAGAATGCTTTGAGACTATGAAGAACTTAAATAATTCCAAGTTGATATCCCAGCCAGTCTTTCACTGAATACACCAAGTTCATCACAGGGACCAAACTTCTCTAGACCGAATTACCAACCTTACAGTTTTTCATGTATGTCTTTGTTTTCATAACCGATTTTTAACGTTCTTGGATTTTTTTTTAACAAGGTATAGAGAATTTTTTGTTCAATTCCCTGCTATTTTTGTATAACTGATTTCTTGTTTGCATGAAAGTAAGCAAAAATATTTAGAAAGCACTGTTTACTTGAGTAGTTTTAATATGCAGGGAAAAGGAACCCTGACTAATTTAGATATAGACTTTTTTCAAAAATGTCTCAAAGACTTAACTGGAAAAATTTTACTTTTTCAGATAAATATCAAATAATACAAGAAAAATATTCTTTTTATTAAAAAAACAAAATGTTCTTATAGCTTGGCAGGGAAAGTAAACTGAAAACCTGTATGTTTTTATATAGATTCCTATATTTTAAAAAATCTGTTTATTCTGATGATCTCTTATTTTTTGAGGGAACTGGTGCTGATATCATATAGAATCGATGTTTTAGCTATTAAAAAAAAACATTTCTACTGACCAGCCACTGTTCAAGTAGCCTTTTGTTTGCACTTCACTGTCCTCAGCCAGTCCCTTCAGAGAGACCTATAGGGGTCTGCAACATTCCAGAGTTGGAAGGACTTTGCTCTGTCCTTCCAGCAAATTTAGGCAGCTTAATGCTTTTCTCTTCTTATGCTAAATGTCAGATACTCCATTATACAACTGCATCTGCAGAAAAAGCTTGCTTTGCCTAAAAAAACCAGGGCTGGCAGCGCTTGGGATTCAAATGCAGAAAGTGTTTCAGAGCACAGGCTGAAAGCAGCTTGCAGAGTATATCTCTCTCTGCAACTCCTTAAACAAAGCAGGAATTTTCCATAGGTCTGTCCGTGCAATCCCAGAAATAGACATATCTCATTTAAAGAGTTGCAGTCCAGCACCACAGATGGTCTCTCTCTTGGACTCTTCGAAGTGCCTTTTTGTCTTTGAATCTTAAGTGCTGCCCAGCCCTAATAAAAACTTATTAATTCCTGTTACAACTGACATTTGTTGAGCAGTTATTGTTTAAGTAGCTTGCCTAATAATAGGAACAGATTTTGAGGACCAGAAGGAACCAAGGGTATGGCCTTTAGGCCCATTATTAGTGGTGCCTGTTACTGAGGAGGTCTCTATGAAAACCTGTTGACTATATCCATTTTTCTCCATTGTTCACCATATGAGCTGTATAGTTAAGATGCCATATTAAATTTATAGCAGCTTGAAGTTGTATTAAGTGATATTTTGCTTGCATAATACTGTTATAAAATAAAGTTTCTTTATTCTCTAAATGTTTCTCTGCTTTTAATATTTGACATTAAAAATAATCTAAACCTATCAACATAACTTAATGTTTACATTGTGTTGGGATTTAAAAAACTTCATAAGGACAAATTCTTACATACTTAAACATATATTTCAAGTGCTTTGCTTTTGTTCTTTTTAATATTTAGAGAAAATATTTTTGTGACTCTCAGAGGATCACTTAGAAGTGGCAAAATGGGGTTGTGGCTCACTCTATTGCCTTTGATCAGTTGGATTCCCTAAACTTCCTTTGTGGCTCTTGCGCTTTTCAGCAGGTACATGAAACCAAAAGATTTGGACTGAAATGTCACTAGTGTGTTGGTGACACTCTACCTCTGATTTCCATTCTCAGATCTCAAACATGCAATGGACCTGTTAAAAATATTGATGTTTTACAGTTAGTGTTAGGTAATATTTATACCATTTGTTTCCATGAAAGGTCTTATTTTTATAAATAAAATAACTGCTGACTAAAAAGAACTATGAAGAATGTATTAGTTCATTGAAACAAGTGGCTACATTACTTCAAATTATAGATGGGAGCAATTGTAAAGTTTTAAATACAAATTCAAATAGTGGAGTAATGAAAGAACATGGCTTGTTTATGAGTTACAAAGTTTTGAGTCAGAACTTGGTAATTGCCAGTCATGTCAGCCTGTCCCATGTGATGATCCACAGCTTTTTCAATGACATTCCAATAATGTCTTTGGTCCACTTGAATTTTACCTTTTTCCTTCCCTTTTTATGCTCCCCTCAAAGGATATTTGGAAAAAATCTTTTTCTAATTATCACCTGCTCATACCACATGACCAAAATATGTTTGTTTGCTGATAATTCTCTTAAGGGAATAATCAATTTCTATTTCCTCCAGGACATATTTTTGTTTCTCCCAATCCATTGCTCTGTTAGCAACTGACTTAACAGACTCTAAAATCCATAATTTAAAAACATGTATCTTATTACTCAACAGCCATATACAGCTATTGGAAAAGCCATTGCTTTAATTACTCTGATTTTCGTTGTCATGGCAATGTCCTTAGCCTTCATTACCTTGTTTAAATTTGTAAATTTCATTCTTCCCTAGGACTAATTTGATTTTTAATATTTTATACCCATTTTGTTGTTGTTGCTGAACACACAAAAAAAGCCCCATATGTGTTTGTTTTCTTCATTGTGGGTTCACTAAGCACACTGGTTGACATTTGTTGTCCTGTTATTTAACATTAGCCCAGATTTTTCATTTCCCATTTTTACTTTCACAATGGGCTCTTCTGAATCATTTTTATTTTCAGATAATAAAATAGCACACTCTGCATATTTCATTAGTGTCTAACCTCCAAATTTGATTCCAAGTTTCAATTCTGCTTGTCAGGCTCTTTTAAACTATACCTAACTTGGTGGGCTCAAGACACAAACAGCAGATCAGCAGCACAGCTCCCTAGACAACACACATACTATTATTCAATACTACTGACTTTTCTACATTTCTGCTGCTATTCCTCCTCCTTACAAATACTGATAGAGAAAATGTCTCTTTTTGGATGCTTTACTTCCAACAAACAAATCTTCCCAACATTCTTAGCTGTTTCACAGCATAGCTTTTTGTAGATATCTGTGGTGCTGACACTGGGGAGGGGGCTTAAATAGAAGAGACAGAAACAGCACAAATTGTTTAAGCACCCTATCTCTTTTAATTTTGAAAAAAAAATATTAACTCTGTGTTTTTCATGAGGCTAATGCCATTTATTTCTGTGCCTTTTTCATGCCATGGTAGCAAATCAGCAATTACATTGTGCTGTCCATATCTTGATATATAATATTGAATTGGCAAGGTTGTAATGTGAGACACCATTTGGGTTAGCTGTGAATTGGTTTCTTTCATTTGTTGCAGCCAAGTGAATGGTTGATGGGTATTACAATGACTTCCCAACCCCATAAATATACACGTAGAACATTGATTGCCCATTTTAGTGCACAGGCTTCTTTTTCAATGGTGCTGTATTTTTGTTCTCTTGGGAGGAGCTTCTTTGAGAGATAAATTACAGGGTTGTCCATCCCTTCATGATTTATGACAAGCTTTGTTTCTAAGCCCGTTAGATATGTCTATTTGTAGGACAAAGGGTTGGTTAAAATTCAGCCATTTCAATATTGGCTTCATGCACAGTGTGTGTCTTTTATCAAAGGCCTTCCTTTCATTTCAGTAGGGGCTAAAGGCTTCTTTAGACCTTTCTCCTTTAACCTTTCCAGATCTTAATGCTTCCTACTTTCTGAAACAGGCTTTCTTATTCTTTCTCCTATGTCTTCCTTCCAAACATCTTCTGTTCATTTTGCTGCCCTTTGACCTGTTTCTAGGTAGTGGTCTTGTGCCCAAAATCTCATTTTGGAAATGAGTACATGTAGAAACTGTTCTAAAATTACTTTCTCTCCCAACTTTTCTTTGCTTATGGCTTCAACTATTTCCTACCTAAGTCTTCCAATCTTCCCCACAATACATGAATCCCTTCTTGTTCGTCATCTGTGTAGCTCTTAATCCTCTGCCTGTAGGTGTAAAGAGTTACATGATACCTGCATGGGATTTGCCTCTAATATGATAATCCATTTCTCTCCTGGACCTAGTTGAAAGACGTTAAAAGCCCTTAGAGCATTTCCTGATAAACATGGGGCTAATCTAGCCATCTATTCAGTCACAGTCAGTTTATAAGAGATAATAACTCTTTCAAACATGACAAAGCTTTCTATATCTCTCTCTTCTGTTAATCTAGGGATTTTGAGGTCTTTGGGACCATTAGAGGTGAATGTTGTGTTTGATATCCCCCACTGCCACCACTTTGTCATAGGATTTTTTAAACACTATACACAATTAGGTGTGCTCAAGACACAAAAGAGCCAACAACAAGCACAGGTCTCTAGACAAATACACAAGCATTCTCACACACTATTAGTCAATACTCACTCTTCCCCACTCCTATTACTGCTGCTACTTCTACTTATTGTGAGTATTGCTATTGGAAACATCCCTTTCTGGTTGCTGCTACTTCTTTACTTCCACGCACAAACACTTCTCCCCCTCAGCACACACCCTCAGCAGCGGTTTCACAGCAAAGCTTTTATATGTGCAGCCATACAGAAAAGGGCTTAAAGAGAAGGGCCAGAAGCAGCACAGGTGCTGGCAATTTGAGCAATCCACTCGCCCACGCTGCTATTCCTAATAATCAGTGTAAGTTAAACAAGTTCAGGGACAGTAGGGGTCCTTCTCTTACTCCCTACATTATTCTGAGCCATGTGTTTCTCCAAACTCTGTTATTAAGAGTAACTTCTTACTCCTTGTAAAGAGTCCTCCAAAGAATAACCAAATGTTCTAGCACATCCACTTGTTTTATTTTCAAATGCTGACATGAACTACCTTCAAAACAAACTTGCTGTTTTCAATAAAACAAAACAAAATGTTTTAAATTCTCTTAAATATCTTCTCAAATGCTCCCTCCCTTTAATTTTTTTATCTAATATGTACATATGACACCAGTGATTCATGAATTCGTCAACATTCTGCACTGATTGACTGGATTCTACTTCCCCATCTTGCGTTTTCCAGTATATTATCAATTGTATTCCACTGTTTTCTAACCAGTTACGCTCACGAGATTTAGCCTGTGTTTTGGTTGCTTAAAACAGGCTGCAAGAAACCATGAATTCACTTTGCTAAATTCTACAACCCTATGTCCTGCATTCTTGCATTTATAATACTCAGAATGAGATTTTGTGATTAGGGTGGATTTTAACCTGGATAATCCCTAGTTTTAAAGCAATGTACAAAAACTAGAATTAAAATTATTAAATAGCATCTCACAGATACCAAGGGAAGCAATCTATACAGATGGTACTATTACAGAGAGGACAAGAGACTACAAGATTGTAGACTATAAATCACAACAATATAGCAGATTGTCATTAATCTTACTGATTGTGCAGAACTCTACTGAGGGAAATGATCCCTCAAGTGTCTGAGACTATTTACATGCCCAAGGTAAAGCTGGTTTGGTAGCTATTTTTTAACCATGGCAGAGTTGAACCTGCATGTCAGATATTCTGCATAGGAGTCTACTACTGATGTCTGCTCCCATACACTTCATGTAGATATTAAACTGCACGGAGAGTAAAAAAGAGCATTATGGCATCTTAGCAGAGCAGAGGCATGGTCAATAAATGCTCTTCTCTGAAAAATTCTTTTCAAGTGGGATTGGAATCCATCTAGCATAGTTCTTTCACAATTCTCAACTCACACAGATGGTCCAGGAAATAGTGTAGTATATGCTATCAAAAGCTGCTGAGATACAAAGCAAATCAATAGAGTAAAATTATCTTCCTTCTTTCTCTCCAACAATAAGCCATCTATCAGGCTAGTTAGTCCCAAACCAGGCCATAACCCAGATTGAAAAGGATGTCTTACAAAACACTCAAGGTTATACATCATTTGTTCAGCTTCGTGATAAATCTAAGGTTTTTGTGGAACTAAGAGCTGCAGTTGGTGGAATGATAATGCAAAGGTGGTAAGATCATTTTTCCTGTTCTTTTTTTTAGTAATTATTGGGATTTTTTTTTAAAAAAAACAAACCCTGAAACTATAATAACAAATATGTATTTTTTTAAAAATGAAGTTTATTTTCAGGCCAGAATGCTCTTGTATCTATATCCTCAAAATGACGTGAAAATACATCATCGAAATTCGCTAGCAATAATTTATTTATAAAATTTATTTCAGGGTAACTCTTGGATGTATCATGAGCTGCAAAAAGGCTTTGAGGCCTACCTTATGTGAGCTTACTGAGTTTACCAGGTTAAGCAACAAACATTTCCTGATTAGAAAGCAAGGCCACTTAGGATTGGTAAGAATTACCCCTAAGACAGGGGTCTTGAACTGGCAGTTCGTAGGCCAGATGCAATCACACACAGGCCACGCCCACCCCAGCTGCACGAAGGGAAACAACAT